TACAGCAGGCTCTGCTCCACCCATCATTTAAATCAAGATGTAATTCTGCACATCTGGTGAGGTGGAGGAAGGGCTCGCTCAGCTGAGGGCCCTCAGTTCCTGAACGTGACAGCACTGTTCTCAAGTGTCTGGAGCTTACTGCTCCTGAGGGATATAGTGAGAAGGAACTCGTTCAGCTAAGTTTTGCTTTCATCTGTAAAATGGCTGCTAGCAGGAGGTTAGTGGTTTCCGAAATTATCTCACAACTGTGATTTGCTATTCAAACCACATTAATATTGGAGTACAATGGAGCTGAATACTAAGGTACACACTTCTAATGCTGGAATTCTGGAGGTAATTTCAAGACCTGAGTTGGGAAGAAGTATAACCTTAAATAACTCCAGCCTTGTGTATGTACCCATACTCTAATTTCTGACAGAGACATATATAATTTGATTTGTTGATAAGAGCTCCTCTTTCACCTGTGGTTTCATGTGGTTTGATGAGAGACTGGCAAACTGGGTTTCAGCTATTGTCAGATGTACTAAACGCACTTAATACCAAATGACAACAAAGAGTGTTGCACAGTTATGGTGTGACTGTGGTACCCTACAGTCATGCTCCATTTTAACTGGACATGTAAAAAACTACTGTGAATAGTGAGCAATAAATGTAATGGGCTATTGATTTACTGCATATATCTGATTTCTGTACATGTTCTCCCAGGATAATTTTTATTGATTGGGCTGATTTGACTTTAGTTTGGAGAAGAAGAGGTGAAATTGCTATTCACAGTAAATGGCCCTTGGACATCACTCAGAGAGTTATCAGGAATTACTTCCTTGTTCCCTTACATTCTTGACTACAGTTGATCCATATCTTTCTATTTATGCTGCCTTCTGTGTGCTAGACTGGTCTATTTTGTGTGCTGTTGATTTCTTTACATTAGCAGAAAACTTTGCAATAGTTTTCAAATTTTGTTACCAAGCACCGAGTGATCTGTTCTTATGAATATACTTAAAAATGTTAGTAATGGCAAAATTGTCAAAGCCAGATATAGAAACCTGTGTGTGTGTTTCCACAGAATTCTTCCATTCTCAGGTAGGGAATAAAGTAGTTAAGTTTCTATGTCAGTTTGGTCATTGGCTTTTTTCTAGAGGCAACCAGTAATTATGCCGTTAGCTTTGGCATTGAGTTTCAACTTAGTGAGATGTGGAGCTAGGCCTTGGTCTTAAATGAATATAATTGAAATCAGTTAGTCTTTATTTTGCCTTTATATATACTTTGACACCACTGAATCAATGATTTTGTACTAACAGTCACAGAAGTTACATACCCCGCAAGATCTTTGGAGATGTCTTCTTATGTAAAACTCAAGTCAAGGATTAGGCTTTTACTGTTTTCATGTGGTAATTTAAGCAGGAAAATGGGAAAAGCTAACAGTAGCCAAACATCCTGCACTGTGTGTGTTCTCTAAACAAGAAGCGAATAAGGTATGAAATTCAAATGGTACTAGTTACAAAGCCTAAATGTTCTTCCAGTAGGTAAGAAATTACACTTCTCTATACTTTCTATACAGCAGTTATAACTATGGAAGGGAAGGTCAGAGTGACACTTCTTTAGAAAATTAGATATTCAGCAAAGCATAGTCAAACTTTCAGTCCCAGGAAACTCTCTGTGGGAATGAAAACTTTATTTCCACACTTAAGACTTCTGTTAAACTTACCACTTCCAGCTGACACAGATCCATGTCTGAATTATATAACTTGAACCAGGGACGGACTAAGTTCCAGGTTCAATGGCTCAGAGGTCTGCAAAGGAGCATATCTGTGGATACATCATAGGACTCCAAGATGTTTGGATCATATGATGTTGCTGGAAGAGGAGACCCTTTATGCCTATTTAAATCCAGATCTATCTCCTTCATTTTGATTTGAAATATTTCACATTCCCCTCTTTGGAGGACATTAACAGAAAACAACATATATCACAAGAAAAGATTCCAGTTGTCGTGAACATCCCCTCTATCCCATCTTAGGTATGTATCTCATTGAAAGACTGTTGAAGTTATGATTTTCCCAGTCATACTTAGCTACAACTGTAACTACAAACTGCCTGTAGTGTGAAGTGGGTGACATACATGCATTGGCAATCTGACATTGTTGATCCTTGTTCTGAATCAGACACATTTGCATTGTTTCTCACGTCTTCAATTCTGTCTTGCAACTACCAGAAGTCTCTGTTTGAACAGAACAGTAAAAAGGTTTGCTTTCATGGAGTTGAGCAATATAACATGTGATTAGAGATTGAATTTATCTCCACAGAATAGCTGCTTTCCAGAAGGCGGCTGAACCCTCAGAAGGGTCAGGCATGAAAACAGGTGATCCCACAGTGCTGCACTCCCCTGAAAACCTAACTCGTGTTTCAAAGCAGGAGATGCTGGATGCTGAGCACTTTTGCAAACACTGTGTTTTATAAGGAGTATAACTATTAACTTTGTACTTCTGATAATATGGCCTGAGCTGTGGACCAGATGCTTAACCATCTTCCAGTGGTTAACC